TTGAGAATGATAGTTTTCTGCTCGCCCAGAACTTGAGTTGATCCCTTAGTTTTGTAACTGCTTTTTGGTTCTGAGGTTCTGGATCATATTGGCATCCGACTTGGAAACCGAGGTAGCAGGTGGTCTCCTCTGTGTCCAGCCATTTGAAGCCCAGCTGCGTGCCCCATGTTGGAGGACTGCCAGGGGGGAGCCATAGTCCTACTGATTTGTGCCAGTTTATTTTTGATCCCATGGCCTCATTGAAGAAGTCCAGGTCCCTTTTGACGTTTGAAAGGTTCTCCAATGATCCCTCCACGATCAGGCTTGTGTCGTCTGCAAAGGCTGAGGATAGGAGGTCCTCCTTTGAGGCTTCGTTCATGTCCTGAAGTGCAGAGTGCCTTTTGGGCCCTTTGGTTGGGTAAGGTAGTAAGCCAGGCCGTCTGCGATGAACAGGAACAGGTAGGGGGCAAGGAGGCATCTTTGGCGGACTGATCTTTCAAGTTTGAAGGATTGTCCCATGGTTCCGTTGATTGTAACCCTGCTAGATGTCTAGTCCAACTTTGTCAATGGGGTTTTAATTAGTTTATCCTCTATAAACCATAGAGTCCGATTTCGACATGCTCGAAACTGGGAAAGAGCTCTTCAAGATTTTTAGGGGGGGTGGGACGAAGGGGACAAAGTAGAACTGGTACTCGAGCCTGTGATGTCCGATGTCCAAGCTTTCGAAGTTCCTGGTGTGGAACTCTGTCGACTCGGGGAGGTACACGTGCCTTCGTTCCTGAACATGTGCTGCCAAATCCATATTGGTGGCTTCCACATCCATTCTTCTTCTCCAGCCTCGCTTCTTCCTCTAAAAAACGGCCACAGCTCCTTCTCCTTCGCTATCTTCCCTTCCTCGCCTCGTTTGATCAGCGTGTCCAGGTGGGCCGCGAGTGAGACGATCAGTCTGGACCAAACCTTTGAGATAGTTCCTCGAGCCGAGGGGTCCGTGTCCTCGAACAGCCTGGCGCAGCGAGCCTTCCATATCTCTGCTAGTGTGCATCCCCGAAGCGCATCGAAGAGCTCCTGGTGGAGATGCGTAATGTGTGTCTGAGTTTGGTTGAGTTGATCAAAGTGTGGGGCCTCGTTGTGTCTCCACTTCCATGCATCAGGATTCTTTGTTTTTCCTTGGATGAAGCTACCCCAGAGTGCTGATTCGTATGTGATTGCAGCTCCTCCGGTTGACGTTCATTTGAATACCGCTGCTGCACCTTCCCATACTTCCTGTGCTGTCGGACATTCCCATAAGATGTGTCGTTGTGTTTCTGTGGCGCCACAGGTCTTGCAGGCTGTGTTCGGAAGATGTATGGCGACCAGAGAGGGGAGACGTTCTTGTTGGGCCAGCCACATGAAGTAGCGGTTCTTAGCTGACCAGCGCCCCTTCCAGATCTTGTTGATGCAGTGTGAGTGGTTCCTGGAATGGATCTGTTGGGCCTTTGCTTTCCGGATGAGGGAGGATCGAGTCGGCACCCTGATCAGTTTTCGGCCTAGCTTGATCTCGTACTGGAAGAAGTCCTTGCACGTGGTTCCCCTCCAATGCCACTCTGCGGGATCCCACTTGAGTTCGTCCAAGGTTTGTTGGCGGAACCAGTAGAGGCGAGCATATTGGTTTTCTGGGATCAAAGGATCAACGTTGGCAGTTTTTTTCTCCATTTGAATCACTCTGATCGGTTTAGCTCTGCTCATGTCGGGGAGGTCCTCGTACTCGGGGGTAACGATGGGGTACAAGCGTCCAGCCTGTCCTGCCTCGAAGACTAGTCCCGATGCCATGTTGGGGAGGGTGCATATGATCGATTCATCCACCTTCCACCAACGATGGTGCTGATCTTCTTGCAGGTTTAGTCGTTCAAGGCATGCGTGTTTGGCTGCTAAAAAGGCTGTCTGGAAGTTACCACAGGGATAACTGGCTTGTGGCAGCCAAGCGTTCATAGCGACGTTGCTTTTTGATCCTTCGATGTCGGCTGTTCCTATCATTGTGAAGCAGAATTCACCAAGCGTTGGATTGTTCACCCACCAATAGGGAACGTGAGCTAGATTTAGACTGTCGTGAGATAGGTTAGTTTTACCCTACTAATGAGCTGTGCCACAATAGTAATTCAACTTAGTACGAGAGGAATCGTTGATTCGCACAATTGGTAATTGCGCTTGGTTGAAAAGCCAGTGGCACGAAGCTACCATGCATGGGATTATGACTGAACGCCTCTAAGTGAAAATCCATGCTAGATGCGGTGCTCTCTACCTCCTCAGCTGTTACCTGATTACGGTTAGGGGGGCCCCGTGCTCCCCCGAGAACACATGACGCAAGTGCCATCCCTCGGGGCCAATGCTGCCCCGGGGGCGCGGCTTGGAAATCCAATTTCGAATGGTCGAGGAGATAAATCCTTTGCAGAAGACTTAAATAGGGGACGGGGTACTGTAAGTGGCAAAGTAGCCTTGCTGCTACAATCCGCTGAGGTTCATCCCTCTGTCCCACCGATTTGTCCCACCCACAGAAGGAATAAAACCAAAGGGTACAGTAGCCCGACGGACCCGGGCAACATGGGCTTGGGCTCAGGCTCGAGCGTGTGGGGTGAAGTGCTTGACTCCCTGGGGTGAAGTGCTTGTCTCCCTAGGGTGTGGTAGGCTGCGAGCACTGGAAGGATAGTGGGGGATGTGAGTGTTGGGCAGCTGAGGCTAGCCCTCGGGTGTCTCGGCTCCACACCCCCAGTTGGACTTCTAGTGCATGCGCGGGCTGCCGGGCTCCACCCCGCATGCACCATGTCGGAGTCGGACTCGGGCTCCATCTCGGACTCGGGTTCCGGCTCGGACATGGACACGTGGGGGTGAAAGCCCAAAGCACTTGTCTCCCTGGGGCGTGGTAGGCCACGAGCACCGGAAGGATAGTGGGGGATGCGAGTGTTGGGCAGCTCGAGGTCAGGCCTCGGGTGCCCGGCTCCACACCCCCAGCTAGACTTCCAGTGCATGCACGGGCTGCCCGGCTCCACCCCGCATGCACCATGTTGGAGTCGGACTCGGGCTCCATCTCGGACTCGGGTTCCAGCTCGGACATGGACACGTGGGGGTGAAAGCCCAAAGTGCTTGTCTCCCTGGGGCGTGGTAGGCCGCGAACACCGAAAGGATAGTGGGGGATGCGAGTGTTGGGCAGCCCGAGGTCAGACCTCGGGTGCCCAGCTCCACACCCCCAGCTGGACTTCCAGTGCATGCGCGGGCTGCCGGGCTCCACCCTGCGTGCACTATGTCAGAGTCGGATTCGGGCACCATCTCGGACTCGGGTTCCGGCTTGGACATGGACACATGGGGTGAAAGACCAAAGTGCTTATCTCCCTGGGGTGTGGTAGGCCGCGAGCACCGGAAGGATACTGGGGGAACCTTAAACCCTAAACCACTCCGTTTTGTGTGCTATAGGATGTTGGATGCTCTAGGACTATTTCAAATCATTCCATGCTTTTGTCCCTATGCTTCTTGGGTTGTATGGTTGAGAGTTGCTCTGTGCTCCAGTTTCGTCACTCCTTAGCTCCATACTTGGGAGTTTGGCTCTATTCCTTCATGCAGTGGCCCAATGCCCTAAAACTCAGGTCTATGGACACGTGGGATGTGGCACGTGGCACATTGATGGTTTAGGTACCACTTTGTGGTTATTCTATGGTAAATCACTATAAAATACAAGGTAAAGACCACATGCACTACAATGATCACATATGCTACACATGGAGAAGTAGGAAAAGGACAGGAGGAAGAGAAACCAGGAAGAGGAGAAGATCCAAAATGATAACATGCCCTAAGTCCATACACACCCATCTTATATCACTCTTGTGTTCGTCATATCTAAAATGACTCTTAACATATGACATATGTTGTTAGCTTGTATTCGCTAATGTTGGGATCCCTTGAGATATTGAGTCTACTCCCTCAATATTTATTAGATGATAGTTTACCATGTCTTCCAAGACACTCTCGGTATCATCCCTAAAATAAGATTAAATAGAATATTATTTAGTAAATACTATTTTTACAATTTGTTTCAATGGTTTTATATATAATTAGCTGAAAAATATGTTTTAAAGTATTAGTTGCTATAAAAAGTGTTATTCAGATTATATTATATTAATAATTTATTTTATTTAGTTATGGTTTTGAATTATTACAGTTTATTTATACAAATCATCAGTAATTATTAACTACGAGTTCAATTTATCTCAAAATTTAATGATCTTTAATTATTAATAATTTGCTATAAAATCCAAGACTTGGTATTTTCTTTACTCTAGCATTAAAATATGAGCAGCTTGTATCACTTAAGTGTTAGCAGACAAGCATAGTTTACAAAATAATTCATGAGAGCATTTAGGATTGGGGGCTGAACAGGGATCAGCGAATTAGGAGCATTTCTATGGTGAGGATAGGACAACCAAGGAGCACTAGGCCATGGCAGTTTGGCTGTGGCATCTGGCACTGCTGGCACATAGCCATGGCTGCCATGACACCCTTTTTTTTGCTTGCTTGGCCCTTATGTAGCCATACTGCCATGAGGTGGGGACGCTAGAATGGCTCTGGAGCTGTTCGGGAAGATGCTACTTCAAGGAGGCTGTGATCCAGATGCCCGGGTCGCTGCACTCAAACCTGCACCCATCTTGCCATGAAAGAAGAAGCCATAGTCTAGGGTTTATTAATATGGGTTTTTGCAAAAAACTGGAAGTACATCATGTTTTCTGGTGCACTTCCAGTGTTTCCAACCTTTTACAAAGCTGGAAATTATTTTAATCCACGAGGTTGAAGGAAAGGAAGTACTTTTAGCACCTCCTTCCTAGTACAGAGTACCAGCTCCCTGGCAATTCAGGTCGACAGCTCCACCTTGGCGGTCACAACGATGAACTTTGCTTTTGTTCTAATGAACTTTGTTTTTATAAACCACTATGGATAGCATTTCAAATTATAATTTTTCTTGACCCATCACAAAATATTTTCTTTTTTTTTTTGAAAACCTTTATACCATAGTTGGTGACGAAAAGAAACGTTGAGGCATATTCCTTTTAATCACCACCGCACAATTAGGTTTAGGGCAGTCATGGCGACAATCACTTGCAAAGGGAAGGCGCTCGAATTCGGCAGCGGCTGTACGCTTGGAGCGATTCTGCAGGTTCTAGGCCGTAAGTTCGGGGAATGCAGCGAAAGCCCCCCATGTGTGTATTCCTCTAGTGGCAAGATCTTCCTTGCCCCTGATGAACTTCTCCCTGATGGGGATTACACATACATTGGCAATACAAGTTTGTCGAATCCGTGTTGCTCTCCTTCAAGCCAGGGCTACAACGTTGTCATGGCAAGACAGATGGTGCCAGATCCGCAGGTTCTCAGCTTCATGCCTGCCACTGCGGTACCCCCATTACCGTTACAGCTGATGCACAAAGTCTTTGGACGTTTTATCAGCGACTTGAGGGGAGAATTGCCTGATCCCACCATGGCCGACTACATGCACTTCAATGACTTGGTAACTGCCTGCTCCACTTTCTACGACCACGAGAGCGACCTGAGGACCGAACTGCGGCAAATATGGCGGGGGTACCTCGAGGTGAACGTTGTCGACGAGATGTACACAGGTTCTTGTAATAAGCACACGACAGATCTTTGGACTTGGGATCCTCTTCACGATGCTCTCGTGCTACTTAAAGAAGTGAAGCGAGGAACATCGACGAGCCACACTGAACCACTGATGCAGGCTGTCACCAACTACGAGCTCAACTGGAACGCAGCACGGAGGGGTGTGAAGGCGCTTATGTCTGACACCTGCTTACCAGCTCTCATCGTTCAACACATTGGTCAGCTGCTCTTAGTTGGAGGGGTTATCACGTTGCCAGCAGGTGAGCATTCCATTCATGCGGTTTTCATATACTTTTACTTTGAATATTCAGGTGATGGTGGTGAGAAAAAGGACAAGATTTGCTATCAGCCATTGGCGTCCGCTTATCTCGCTCCGCTCCACGGACATGATGTGTCGCTAGCGATGGATGGTGTGAGGACTTGCATGGCAATCAAAGCTGCAGTCGCAAGGCTGATAACTTTCTACGGGAATTGGGGCGATCGAAATTGCAAGAAAGGACCGTCCTCCAAGAGGCGTGAGCTGTTTAGGAGGAGGATTCCAGGGCTGCTGCATCGTGAAGCAGTGAAGCCGGGGGTCAGGGTGGATCTGGCATGTGAGCACAAGCGGGTCTACATTCTGAAGAAGCCTGGAGAAGATTGTGTCATCAAGTACTGTCAGCAGGACTACGGGGCTGATGTTCATAGGGCGTGGGGTGAGGCAGGACTTGCGCCAAAGCTTCTCTCCTTAAAACAGGTTGGGGGAGGCTGGCTTGAAGTGAGGATGGAATGGCTCCCGGAAGAAGACGGTTGGAAGCTCTTGTATGGCCTCCCGGAGGCGGATAACCTCAGAGACGAAGTTGTTTCCAATCTGGCAAAGGCACACAAGGTTGAAGTGCGGAAGTGGAAGGGTGGAACGACTTATGGCGTTCATGGTGACATGCGGGACAGCAATGTCATGGTGAAGATGACGAATGGGCAGCTTGAGGTGCGTTTCATAGATTTCGACTGGGCCAAGGAGGAAGGCTTGCCTGGGTCGTTGTATCCCAGTTTCATCAACCATGAAGGTGTCAACTGGTCACTGGGTGTTGGGGAAGGGCTGCGGATGCTGCAAGAGCATGACAAATATCTTCTGGGACTTCCACAGGCTAAGCAAATCAAAGTGGAAGAGAAAGAGGATGATGATGAGGATGATGATGAAGATGAAGATGATGATGATGATGATGATGATGACTATATGGAACCGAATAGGAAAAAGCTGAGGCTCTAAATTGGCTCTTACTCATTGATTAAATCAGGATTAGCTTCATACCACAACTTTATTGTATTGTCTTTAATGTTTGAGGAGTTATCTTTACCTAGCCTCAATGCACATAAGAAAAGGCCTTTTAAATCAGTCTCAAAACCTAAGAACAAGAGAGGGTTTCATGGCCAATGTCTATACAGATTCTGTGCTTCAATTCCCAGATTTATTATCCACTAGGTGATGATCTCTTGCCCCAGCTAGCATTTACCATCTAGACTGGAAATAGTTGAAGTTGAGTTTTGATCGATGCAGTATTTATGGCATGACATGGAGATGCACACATATTCCCTTGATCCAGGCAGGAAGAATCCTCAATAAGAGACAAATGAGATATGTTGAGAGACGGCTATAAAAGGAAGAGGATGACAACAGTAGTCTCATGCCTCTTGAAGCATTTAGGAATGTTTAAAATGTTTAATTGTGTAGATGAGTGTTGCACTCAGAGTGATTTATAGAGCTTTGATTGTAGCTCACAGCTGACCTCTGGAAACAGCGCATCCCTAAACAATCTGTTTAGCTCACTAGGTTCTTGATTGGAGGAATCTATGAGACATAGGACCTCCTACCTTTGGTTTTGGCTCAGACTTTGCCACAGCCAGAGTGTTCACAGGTCTGCATAGATGGGATGTCGTCCTGGACACAGTACTACAGCCATTCTCATTGCAAGTTTAGGCCTGATTTTGCTTCACTAGGTAGTTCTCTCCAGAGGGCAGTACATCTGGTTTTTGGTTTGCTGGGACTGAATATATCTAGAATATGCTTGGATATTCTAGGATATTCTACCATCTAACGGTTGGTATTCATTTAGATTAATCTGGTATTTATAATTTATAAACATGTTTATAAATTATAAATTTTCTTAAACCCTTTCTAGTATATTCTTTTTTATTCTATCATCTAATGGTTGATATGCAATAAGATTAATCTTGTGTTTATAAATTATAAACATGCTTATAATTATAAACTTTATTTGATCAATTAGATTAATAAGTAATAATAAAACTACCATTAAGCAAACCAAGCGTTGCTACATGCAACGCATAGCAATTTATTTGTATTAGTCCCTATAGGACATTTCCTCAAAACGACTATAGGGTTGCTGCAAACCAAATAAATTCTTTACAAGCTCCAACCTCCCAACTCTTAAGGTGTTGCCTTAAATCCCCTAGGCCAATATTATTGTTTTTTGTGTCATTCTTCTATCCCTTATGAAAAAGCTACATATAGTAGCCTTTAGAAGCTAAATAAGCCTTATGTGATGGGAATCCAAAGCAATATAACCATGGAGAAAAGATGTACAAACAGCAACACCGATATTGTGATAAATGGCTATGAAATTATCTAGTGCTCACAATAGTATGGAGATAATTTAACACTGCCACCTCCTTTCAAAGATTATTGTGCATGCAATAGCTTAAGGAAGACCTTGTCACCAATTTTATACTCCTATGAAGATGATGTTTATGAATCAGTCTCTTCTCTCATTCTTGAGCTTATCTCACAATCAACTTTGCCAACTCAAGTTTGTTTTCCATATCCTCTAAGAAATCACAAGTATGAGGCATTTGAACCATAGCCAAACTCAAACTCATGGGATACATACATGAATAGAAACATGCCAATAGCCGATTGATGAGCGCTATTATGAATAAACTGGAGTAAAGGCAAGTATTTTTTCCATACTCCTTATTGACTCAAGTTTCTCATAAGCATATCTTCCAACAATTGATTTATAAGCTCTATCTACCCATCTGATTATAGATGCTCACCATGCTCATGCTTAGCTTAGTTTATAGCTTATCAAAAACCATTTTCTAAAACTTAGATGTGAACTTAGGAGTAAACCTCATTGCCTCCTTCAACACAACCAGCAGAAACTTCATTGGATACTTAGGATGGATCTCCACTCCATCAACTAAGCCTATAGCAATCAAGGCTGTTGTATTTTCCTAGAGAGTGGGACCATTAAGGTTTGCCTTAGAGATTGAATAATCAGTCTACAAATACCTAAATAAGTTTAGAAGTTTTAATTTTTATCTTCATTGGGAAGAAGTGAGCCATGTTTCCCACTGATTGCCACCCATCTACAGCTAACTTGCTCTCCCTAAAGCCAAAGCCACAAGCACCAAACACAATGCAGTGCTAAGTAATGTGGCACAGATTATTTGGTCTCAAGCATGGGGTAGTGATATGGCAATACCAACAGCAATGGCAACAGTAGATATTGCCACAAAATAAACCTTTGTTTACTCCTCTTTGTTTGGGTTTTGGCCAACTTGACCACTAGGGTGATAAGTTGGGGAGATAGGGTTTTGGCTTTGGGTTTTGGGGAGTAGGGAATGGTTGATGTAGCCATATTCATCAAATAATCAATAATAGCCTAAATAACATCATTTCTTTGAAAGGACTAAGGACAAACTAATGATAAAGTCCATTGAGATGTTATCCTATTTTTTTTTGGGTAGATGTGGAGGATAATAGAGGCTTGTGAACTTTTGATGATCAACTTTGATTTCCTGGTAAGTCAAATAACTATGTATGTACTTCTCAACACTTGACTTCATCCCAAGCCAAAAAAATGCCTCTTCACCAATATATATGTCTTCATGACACTAAACTAAGATCCATTTGATGAGTTTGTTAACATAAAGAACCACTACACATCCTTTCTTTACCAAGATTCTATTTTGTACCTCAAATGACACAAACTTATCACCCTTCAAATTTGTAGAGGTGTCCCTCAATAAAGTGATAAAAGAGTTAAAGTTAACAAACTCTTTAAACTCATTTAAGAGATTGTTGGATAGCTTTTTAAATGAGATAGAATTCATCATCTTGGATAATATGTTAGCACCACTAGATCTTAACAAATATCTTCTACAAGAACTCTTGTCAATAAGTAAATTGGCCTTGAAGATCTTTTTGATGACTGAAATATTGGAGAGATTGATGGTTTGAGTCCACATCCATACATATAATATCACTATTTCTTCAAAATAACAATCACAACTCCTTATTTCAAGTAGGCCAATTTCACTATGTGGCATCAGAATTATGGCTTATGTATGTGAGAGGATGCCCAACTTGAAGCAATATGTCTCTAATAGCAATGTCACTTTAATTTGTCTCGATCACAAAAGAGTTTTTAGGATTAAAAATCTTCAAAAGACTCAACATTGCTTCAATCACTAAAATGATATTTGACACTTCTCATCCCAACTATGAATTTCAATATGTTCTAAAAAAGATTGACCAAAAGAGTAGATATTTTTGAGAAGTCTTTCACAAATTGTCGAAAAACTCTAGCCATACCAAAGAGATCATGCACTATTAAAGGTATAGGCCAATCAAGCATAACTTGAATTTTTGTGGGATTAACTCTCACACTATGTACTAAATCAAATGCCCAAGATATCCAATTTTCTCTAAGAAAAACTTGCACTTGGGATAACTTTAAGTAGAGTTTGTTGTCCCTCAAATGTTGCAAAACACTTTTACATATGCATGTCATTTTCCTCCACTATAAAGCTAAACACAAGAATATCATCAAGAAATCAATAGTAAACATCCTCAAGTAAGGTTGTAAAATTTGATTCATCACCTTTGAAAAGTTTTAGAAACTTTTGTCAAACCAAACAGCATTACAAAAACTTGTAGTGACCTGTCCTTGTTCAGAATGTAGTCTTTGGAACATCTTTCAGCTTAACAGAAATATGATGATATGTTGCCTCAAATGAATCTTTATAAAGTATTGAGCACTATGAAGACAAATAAGAAAATAATCAATACAAGGGATTAGTAATATGTTCTTCATCATTCAATCCCTTCACCACTAAAGAAGCCCAAGGAAACTTACTTATCCATAACCACTGTTTCCAAAGTTACTCAATAAGTTGCCTATTGATCTCCTTATTTTCAGCAAGAATAGTATAAGTCTGGCTATCAATAATAAGGAATAGCTCTAGGAACAAAGTTGATCTCATGTTGAATTCTATGTTCTGAGGGTAAATCATCATGCAACTCACCCAGAAAAATGTCATGGAACTCCTCTTGAATGCACTTCATATAAACCCCACCATAAATGTACACCAAATGAGACATGATCATATTAGAAAGAAATGCGTAACTATTTTATGTGTGCACTTCACCAACTCAAAAACATTAATCAATGGAGTATCACTATTATTGTATGTTTGGACAATCTCTTTCACAATGCCACAAACTTCGATATGCAAAACATTGCACTCTCAATCCATCCTTGGCTTCCTATCATAAAACCATTCTTCCCAAGATTACTAATACAAATGAAGCCTAAAGTGCATCTCTTGGGGGGAAGTATAAGAAAGATATTGAAGTTTAGGATCCACTTTTGAAGGAATTCCCTAAGGTGTTATTGAACCATTTTGGGGTTGGGGTTGGGGGGGGCTGAGTAGTTTTTGAGTTGAGCTCAAGTCAATGAAAGTTAAAGGAAGTTAATACAGTCCCCTAATTAGCTAAAGTTACGCACTTAGTTCATCGTAAACCAAGATTTTTTAGGTTAAAATTTATGTGTTTAAGGTATTCCAAAAGCTTACACAGGTTATTGGTTTGACACTAACTAGTCTTTTTGTCTACAAAGAAAGAAAATAATTTATTAAACAATATAATTATTATTAAAATCAGAAATATTTAGTCTTCTTTTGCTTCTATGTCCAAAAATGCAGGAATGGGTATAGCGGAATGCTCCTTTACTATTGGCTCATGTTGCATAAAATGTTGTGCCATGCATTCAGCATAAATAGGTAAGTGGAATTGACTTTGGTCCATATGAACTTCCACATCATCAAGACATGTGATAAGGGTGGATCTAATAACATAGAAATATTTTAGAATAAATATTATAGATTATTTCAAACACTAATATCACCTATTGCAAAATCTCCTAAGAATATCCTCAAAGGCACTCTCCTTCTCAAGCACAATCTCATTTGGACTC